TTCTGTATCAGGGTCTGCAGAGAACAAATACAACTGGCCAGCCTGCTAACACTCACCTTGGGAGTTTCATTTCGGATGTTAAGTTTGAGGGGTGAGCAGTGAACAGCGCTCACCAAGAATCAGGACTTCTATTCTCAATTCAACTCTGCCACTGACTGGTGATTTCCAGAAAAATCTTGAGGTTTTGGATGCTCTGCCAGCGAGTACACAAGCCAAGCCACTCGGGTCTATTTTATGATCTAATACATACGTTTAGTTTTTAAAATTAAAAAAAAAAAAAACCTTAAGGTTAGCATTTTCCTAGTAGATTGTTGGTAACCCAAAAATAGCTTTTAGCATTTCTATAAGGGCTCTGTAGGAGAGCATGGGGCAGGGAGGGAGCTCAGATATTGACCACCAGGTGAGGCAGCAGGCTATCAACAGAGGGAAAAGTTAATCCTCCTTAAATTACTAAACGTATTCTTCTTTTCCTTTTTTTTTTTTTTTTTTTAAATCTATTTAGGACATTTTGCCAAACATTTCCGTTACCTCTGGGATCTTATTTTGGCTAGTCAAAACATATTATGTTCATGGTTTCCTATATTGGTATAAAATAAATTAAAAGCCTATTTGGCTAGGGGATGTAAGTTAGGTCCTGGTCCTGGGCACTTCCCATCCCTTCTACATTTTAGCTTTCATCCTTCATAGGCATCTGTACATATTCTTCCCTCGTGACCTTGACACATATCCCGAGAGCCCCAGTTAGTATAGACGTTACATATCAAGGCTTTAAAAACATTATACTTCAAGTATGTAAGTTCTGCAGTAAATTCCAAGAAAGTAAGATCTTTGGAAAGAAAGGCATTTTTACTGACATGAAGCATTAGGATCGATTTTTCCAGATGGTTTTAGCTGATTAGCTCACCTGAGGACTAGCTCACCTGAGGACTGCTGCAAGGGTTTCCACACAGGGTGCCTATTTTTAAACTGCTTTCACCACTTTTACCAGGTTCTAAGTCCTACACACAGCTCCTTTATGTGACTCTTAGCTGCCTGATAGGGTGAAATCAAGGTATTCCCTTTAGAGAACTTAAGGAATAGCTTTCGGAAAATTAAAACGAAGACAATTCCCTCTACTCACAATCTTGCTTATATAACTTCAACCGTTAGCACCTACTCTAGTGTTTACCCTGCTGAATGTGTGACTTATTCATTGTCTTGTTGAAGACAGAACGCTTTGCAAATCTCAATAGCTCCCTCGATTTGGGATCCCTGGGTGCGACAGGCTTGCACTAGTATCTATTTAATAAGGAGCTTCAAGGGGCGGGTGTGTGCTGTGGACAGGCAAACAGACCCAAAGTGTCCTAGCCCCTTGGCCTGGGGTTTCAAAGGACAGCTTCATTATGTTGTAAATGTTCTTTTCCACAATAAAACCCATAAAAGTCACCTGGAAAGTTAAGTTTCAAAATAAAAGTATTTTTGTTTCAGTTTGTCAAGGTAACGTAGTCTCACATGTGATCTTTAGCCAAAGAGCAATAGTTAATATTTAACATGAACTGTAAACTGTGCTCAAGCACATGCAGGCATATGTGCACACAGACAGATAGACAGATGGACACACACACACACACACACACACACACACACACACACACACACACCACTAGTGCTAGTGTAAAATGTAATAAAATGTGTTTTAATCATTAGGCCCCAACATGCATCTTTCTTTATGTGTCTGAGTATACAAACAGGTCTGGAGAATTGGACTTCCAATTGAAAGTCCTTCTCTGGAGAATTGGAGACGACAGCTGTGACTGTAGCTGACAGGTCCCAAAGCCTCAAGTGACAGACCCAAGAATGCCAGCCTGCAGAACTCCATGGCCCTCTTACGTTGTCGGGGGCTTCCAGTCTGAGAAGGGCTACTTGTCTTCTTCTATCACTCAGAATGCCCCATAACTCCGGAAAATGAAAAATAAAATGTTCATTGTTTCAAGTTGATTAGGGCCTCCAGTCTAAGGTACAGGGTAGGTTCACTATTTTGCACCCCCCTCAACAAAGCTTTAAACACCTTGCCAATTTAAAATTAAAAAAAAAAAGATGGAGTAGAAAGGAAAATAGAATACATTCTTGGTAATTCCATGAAGCTATTTCACTTTTAAAACCTTCGTTTTAAAGTACAGGATAACGTGAGTAAAATTTTATGGAGATCAAATTCATGACAACAAATAGATATTTGACATATATCAGAAACCAGAAAAATTCCAGGGTAAGTGGTTTTACAAGGTTTTCACATGGGTGGGAAGAGGAAATTTTACATCAAATCTCTCATGATTGGAATTAGTAGAATTCATTCAATACCTTTTTGTCGAGGCAATGTCCTGTTTCAAATTACAAGCCTACCTCCCCTAAGACACAAAAGTATTAAAAACCCGATGTGGTACCAACAGCACAATTATGTCAGCGATATAAAAATAGTGTGAATTGCCTTTGAACCAAACTTCCAAAATAAGAGCCTGACTAAAATTCAAGCCTGTGGCTTCTAAATTGTAACTATAAAAGTTTTAGTGCGTTCAAGTACAACGTGGACCTTAAGTATAAAGACAACTTGAACAGATAGAAACAGGAGCAGAACCAAGGCAAAGAGCTCCTGGGCCGAGGCAAGTAGCCTGTAGTGTAGGAAACAGAACCTAATTGTATACAATTGAAGTTTAATGTGTCATCTTTAAGTGACAATCACTTTTCCTCTCCAGGACCAAACACCAGGTCCTTTGGAATAGCTTGAGTTGAGGGTAAGGGGGTGTGGGTGGCACCCTAAAATTAATTACATACATGTGTGAAGTTATCAAAGAGTAATAATAATACAAAAGAGACTAGCGTAAGTTACTGGTTTGGGTTTACAAAGGACTATGTTTGCTTGAACTATTCTAATGGAAAAATCATAATTCATTTCTCCCCTCATCCTGCTGGCCTTTGACTAAATACTGACGCAAATCATGCTGACTACTTAGGGTTTTCAAAACAGCATGGGATTTTAAAGGACACGTTTGGTTCTCACATTTTATGTACAACTGGGCAGTTTGGACTAGGTTCTAAGATGTTGGCACCACATGACAGAGGCCTCGTAACTTTCCTTGACATGGTAAATTAAATTCCTTTGACTTAGAGCCACAGATAAGAAGGGTCTAATAGCCAATGGATATACATACTGCGAAAATGCTGCCCTCCCTGGACTGCTGCTAGGCATTGTGTCTGTTCTAAACCCACTTTCCATCATTAATGGTCAGCTTCTTAATGCCTTGGTGTTTAAAATCTCTGGTTCCCACAACTACAGCCCACATTAACTGGTCGCTCACATGAATTCAGAAGCATGTCATTATTCTCTTTAAACATCAGCAGCAGCAGACACTGATCATCTGAGGGTCGATTTTCTAATAGTCTGTATTGGTTAAGGAGCCGAAGAGGTAAGGGTGAGAAGATGTTTAGGAAGAGGCAGAAGTGTGTCCCATTCTCCAGGAAGGAGAGTTCTGTCAGGATTTCACAGAGAAGGAAAACTGTTGGGAAAAGTTGCTCAGGAGAGCAGAACCCACTCCCCCATGCCTGAGGAGGGCTCTCAGCAAAGCAGAAAGCTTGAAGGATGATCAAACAAAGCCATGGGCCTACCCTCAGAGAAATCTAAAAGGGACCCCAGTCCACTTGAACTTGCTCAATGACACCTTATCCAGTGCCATCTGGCCTTAGACACATCATAAGGCCATCAACCTATCTCCAGGCTACAGTCACTTTAAATTTCTTTACAGCCTCCAAATTCTATTCACTCCCTAAAAAATGCTATCATGACCCTTTCCTGATAACAGAGCCAATATCAAAACAAAAATTTCATAAAAGTATTACATCTTTTTATAATGCATTTTAGAGGATGGTCAAAGTTGCGATGCCATGCTTTTAGCATAGTCCTGCAGGTCTGGATTCCCAGGAAAACACAGAAGCAGCCTGGAAGAAGACATGTCGCCGGAGCCTGGTGAGTGGAAGCCTCTGCTTCCTCATTCAGGTCTCAACATGGTCACTAACTGCTTCCTGAGCTATAAGTCCTCAGCTTTCACCTTTGAAATGACAGCCTGAAAGAATTTCCTAGGGTTCCTTCACTTTTAAGCTTGTGAGAAACCAATCACAGGCTACAAGTGAAAATAACCAGGAAGAAATTCCACAGGACTTACCAAAGTCCATGTTTGTTCTAGACTGGGTTTGTTACTGAGCTACGGTGGAGGCAGACCTGTTGCATCATAGAGAAAATACCCCTTTTCTGGAAATGTTCTAGTAATACAGGAAGCAGTAGATTAGATTCCTCTCTCTCTCTCTCTCTCTCTCTCTCTCTCTCTCTCTCTCTC